CTATACTGGGGCATTAGGACCCAGACAGATCACAGGGTGAGCGCCCCCTGCTGGCCCCACTAACACCTCTTCCAGCAGCAACCTTGGTAAATTATGAAGGTAAATTATGAAGTGTGGAGTATCTCAACTTTATATCTGTGTATTTCACAGTTTCAAAGACACACACCTATCAGTGTGGCCAAAGAAGGACTTAATGTGCACTTGATCAGCAATTAGAACTGTTTTTTTGTGGTGTAATAAATATGTTCTCGGCAGCAATTAGTGACAATTAAGCAATGATTATTACATTTGTGAACACATTTATTTTACATGTGTTTCATGTCATATTAATAAAATATTTTTTCAAATTTTAACTGCTTTATAGCAGTTTATAGCAACAGAAAAATAGGGACAAACATAAGGAGAATTTATATGTACTTTTAATTTATTTGGAATTAATTTTAATGAGTTTTTTCACTAAAAGAAAGCACAGTCCTGAACCTAGTTTTCATAAGTGATAGAAGGTTACAAAGTGAACCAGGGGGATTATAACTGTAAATTTAAGGGCTGAAGGAATAGTTTCAGATTTTAATAATGCATTGATGATATGTATGAATGTACTGTAGGACAAAGAATTGCAAAATTTGTAATGCAGCAGGTAGTAGGAATATGATCAAAGGAACATGTGAAGGTATAATTTTAGTGATCATATTATCTGCTGTAGAAAGACTGCTAAGCAAGATGCATTTAATTCTGATTTGTCACCTGATATACTGTATTTTAGGCTCTGCTATAATAATTAGAGGGAAAAACTAAAGAAGTTTTACAAAATGTGCCTTAAGTGTATTTAAGAGATGATGAATTGTAGAACGAGGTTTCTAAAAACACTTTTCCTTTCTTGTGTTTCAGTAGCTTCCCAGAAATTGGTGACCAGGTGACAGTGAGAAGAAAGCATAGTTAAAACTCTGTAACAGCATTTCTCTTGTTCACAGGATGCATACTGTATAGCAGATAATATGGTATTGAATGTAGAATGCCATTTTCCACATAGTTTCATGACTGTAAAAAATGATGCAACAATCATTTCATTCCCAGTGTTTAATAGCTCAACCTAATCATTTAGAAAACAATAGTATTTTTCTTTTATAAAGGATCATGTTACTTCTTACATTTTTACCAAGCATTAAGAGAAATACTGTAAAGCGATACTTCGGTGTGGTAGTGCTAATAGCAACCAAGAATGCTCACAAATCTTTTGTGTTGCACCCTTCTCTTATAAAACAGGTTTAGCCTGTGTTATTATTTCTGATGTACAGTCACGTCTGATCTACAATGGTACCTGAAGGATTGGGTCATATGGGACATGCAAGATAGCTTTGAAAAAAAATCTAAATTCAACCATCAAGTTCCAGGATTTATCCATGGCAAAATATGTGATCTTCCACCTTTGCTTTTTATGTAGTTGATGTTGTCCCAGGGAGAATCTCTTTTGACTAGGATCATACAAACTAACCTGTCATGGAGTTGCTCTCTAGAACAGCATTTACATCCATCCACTAACACTTGGTGTATGTTTTTGATATATTCTCATGCTCTGCAGATCAAGGTTAGTAGTTTTTCATTTGAGCCTTTTGTATAAAGCATCTGTATGTACTATATATACTGTGTTCTCTTTCTTCTTTTTTTCAGCATGGAATAAACCTTTACTTGTTCCTTTGCAGCCTACGCATGCTGACGCGGCTCTCCACCTGAACTACTATATATACTGTACTGTATATGTTCTATGCTTTATATAGGAAATGAATTATCAATAATGGGATTTCAAAATATTTTTTCTAATACATATAGAAGTGTTCATGGTAAAATACGTAGTAGAAGTTTTGAGACTAATGGTTCCTGATGTGTCTGTTATTTAACTGGAGACGATAAATGTTAAATGTTACAGATAGTGGAGTGATCGTGGTACTGCCAACTGCAAGCGAACTTAGTATCATTAAACTGTCAGAAAAGCTACTAGCCAGAGAGGTCCATTCAGCCTGTCTAACTCTTTAGATGTCTTTGTCAGTCTTGTTTAATAAAAATTGTAATAAAGCAACAACAATTCTGTATTTTTATTATGTGTTTTCAATCCACAGGACCTCAATCACGTTATATAGAAGAGGGGGCTTATTTTCCCCCACTGAAGTGTCACACAAAACAGTGATGTGTGGTAGCCATTCTTCGCCAGCCACCCCACTTTATAGAGTTACTGTAGACAGAATTAAAACTGATTTACGCAGAAGTAATCCCCTTTTCAAAAATCGTTTATTATTCATCCAAGAATAACACTTGAACTGATTCCACAACCAGCAATAGTGAAAAGAGATTGACACATTTACACAGGATAGAAAATTAATATATCTTTTATCTTTCCGGAGGCCAGAACTAAAACGCTTTGTTACCTTCACTTTTAACATCATCTGAGCAGTGTGGCAAAGCAGAATATGATTGATTAATGTCAGCCTGATTTTGTGTGTACATACATTTTCAGTAAATATAGGTGTCATCAACATAGAAATGAAAGATCACGTCATATCTATAAAGAATCTGACCAAACAGTAATGCATAGATACAAAAAAGAATTGGACCAAGTGCAAGTACAGTATGTCTGACCATCCAACAATTTTCTAATCCGCTTTTCCAATAGAGGGTTGCATGGGAGCTGGAAGCTAACCAAGACAAGCAAGGGACACAAGGCAAAATACATCCTGGATGTACTGCCAGTCGATTGCCAGACAATTGCCTGTCAGACACATGCATGATGGGATGCCAGTCTAGCACAGGGCACACAGACACACACACTCACAGCGGGGCCAATTTTCCCATAAGCGAATTAACTGACCAGCATGTCTTTGGACTGTAAGAGGAAACACCTGGAGGAAACCCACACGAACCTGGGGTGAACACACAGTATGAACTCCCCGCAGAGGCAGGAGCACCCCAAGAAGTGACCCAGGACCCCAGCACTGTGAGGCAGCAATGCTAACTACTGTGCCACCATGGAACAATGACCAACTTGGAAAAAAAAAATCTTTGTTTGATAACTGATAGCTAAATAACAATTAGGCACAAACAAACCATATTCAAAGGGCATCAAAAGCATTTCTGTCGAATTTACTACTGAAAGTATGACTACTGTATATGTGATCATAATTGTCACGGATGTCGGAAGGGCAAGCCGTGGAATGACAAGGAGAGCAGGACAGACCCTATGTGTAGCAGTAAAAGGGGCAACACAGGGGTTAGCCCAGGTTCAGGGGGACAGACAAAACCTCGCTATAGAAACCTATGCCCTCAGGCCACAGACAGGAGCGACCTGGTGCTAGGCAGGTCTCAGGACATCCGTTCCCTCAATGCCGAGCGAGGAGCAGAGCAGAACCAGGAAGTAAATAGGCAACACAACAGGACAAACTGGAAAGACATGAATAATCACAGGGAACTAGGAGCAGGACAGAAGAGCAGTGCCCTCTAGGTGTACAGGGCGTGACAATAATCTAGTCTAAGATGATTACAATTAATATTTAATGGGTTCTGACAATTCTGTTAATGAGAAGGTATGATTCTGTCTGTTTACGGTTTTACATCATGGCTGGTTTGAAAGCTCCAGGACCTCCAACACCCAAAATGGGACAGATACATCTGAGAAATGTATCTATCCTGTAACTGACGACTGTAGTATTTGTAGTGATAAGAATAATGAACGTATGTGTAAGGATACTAGTTGATGCATGAGCGCAGCAATAAGGCTTTAAGCCATGAAATTAGTAACACAACGAGGAGTGTGTGGAGGTCTTTTCCAGTCAAGTTATTATTCCCTTTCAAATCTTGTGGACTGTTAATGAATCGAACCCAGAATAATAACAGAACACTGTTTACACAAAGAAAATTATTTACTATGCTGTTTGAGCTCATGAGTTGTTACCAGAGGTTCAGACTTTATGAGAAGTGAATGTTTATTGCAGATTTTAGAATGACATTGGACAAAGTAATGCATATGAACTAACAGCCATTCAAAACATAGAAGAGGCAGGTTTTTACATTGCCCATTCCAAAGCAATACATAAAAAACAATCCTCTACAAGAACTGCAAGAATACAAACATCCTTAAGTGAATGAAAACAATGTGCAATATAATTATCATCAAATAAAAGTATAAAGTAAGAGCACTAAGATTCTTTAGTGTATTGCACACTGGTACAATACATATACTGTATTAATGCACTTGCCTTGTGAGAGCCAAAGAGAGGTAGTTTCATTTTTACTGAATGCACAGTGTGAGGAATGTGCAGCAGATGCACAATTTGTTGGGAATTCGCATCTACCCCAGGTGGACAAAGACGTACAACACCCAAGAGGCATTCCATGCCGTTTCTCTGGTTATTTTCTTTTTCAAATCCAGCACTGGTCCCAGTTTTTGTCTCCCCAAACCTCCAAAACCTCCAAAGCTTTTTTTGGATGCATCGTATTCTTGGAATCACAGATTCTCCAGTTTAATCTAAAAAACAGTACCTACAGAATTCCAAGCACGCCCTTGTCTAGCTTGTAGTTTGTGGAGCTGAGTATATCAAGGAAGCAGTGAAAGAACATCTAAAACACAACACATAAAAATCACTTTCAAGCTCACCTTTAAAAAGTGATATATGAAGAAGAGAACAACTACATTGTACGTACTACTGCATATATAGTATACTGCTGTATGATGTAGATGCTATATGACTGCTGTAATGATGACAATCTATGGTACATTTTTGCACATGTTATCAAGTTTCTCTTCCACACGCTCCATCAGGGCAGAATAAACACCTCTTCTCCGCCTGTGTCTCTAAAAACAATAAACAGCAATTATTTACAACACCAAACCTTATAATTAATCACTAATAACTTCAAATTTCACTTGTCCATTTTTTACACAAAGTGTTTGTTGCACTGAAAATATTGATAGTGACATTTTAAGAAAATCCATTAAACAAATAGCTGCCGTCAAGCACTTAAAAGTGCAGTTTGCTTTTGGTTTGTTGGTCAAAGTTTTTATTTAATCTGGGCCTTTGCCTGAAAGACGTACAGTAATCAGTTACATGACCAAAGCATGTTGCTGGAATGTTGTTATATATTGTGATGAAATCACAACACAGGAGGACGCCATCTTGGTTCAGAGCCAGAAGTCCGGAGGTCTGGGTTTGAGCCAAGATGGCTTCCTCTTATGGAAGGGGTGTAGATTCCAACACATTCAGGTAGGTTCACCAAATACGGGCAGAGGCAGTTCTTGAAAATGTAGGCTCCCTTGACAGTATTAAAACATAAAGTCTATACTTAAAAAGGCCCTGTGGTCGAGGAGGATTGGATCTGGGGGCTCTGGGTGTAAAAACACAGTGCCTCTAAAATGATGACGGATCGTGACGTTGACTCACGTACCGTGTAAGAAGCTGACTTTGGAGGCCAGGGTCCCTCCGGAAGTATTAGCTTCGGATCCCACTTGGGTTCGGCCGGCTTGAACGTGTCGAATCTGTCAGAGCGCCCTTTCTGCCGCAGCGCTGGGGCTGGGGATCTGGAGCTGTCGACTGAAAGAAAGCCACGCTCCGTCGGTCAGCTGAATGTGGCGCCTGGTCTTCTGTGGACTCGCGTGTCGGGAGCAATCACAGCTTCTGAATACTTTCTCAGCAGCTTTGCTACCTTTGCCCCACGAAACAACAAACTAAAGCCATTCCTTTCAATTACTCTGTTACAGTGACTGATGACGAAGGGTATGGGATGTACTCCATCACTTCATTAGCCATTGGGCTGCTTTATTCGAGAGAGATTGATCTAACAGATTAACAAGCTTTCAGATCCAGTCTAAAGAGCGAGGCTGTGTACAGGCATAGTCAGAGTACTTAAAGTACTATTTAGCCCATCTACTATAGCTCTTTGGTACTTGGTCGGTAATTGATCCAGTTTCATGAAGGAAACAAGGGGTCTGTCCAGCCTCGTGTTCACGACTTTAAATGCTCTTCCATGGAGTTTCCACCTGTGTCTTCTGGTTGGTGTAAGTTTCTGCTTGTGTTCTCTCAGTTGTATGTTTTTTAAATAACAAGGCAGAATGTCACCAGACGCCACTGTGGTTTCCTTTCCGCTGCATGCACGTGGGTCCAAGTCACACACAGAGGATCGTTGCAAAAGTTATAAATATAACTTTTTACTGCTTTGAAGAACCAAACCCCCATCCCACACACATAGACTGTACCATTAGAAATAGAAGATACTCTAACTGTAATGCTCTTTCAGACAGAGTTCTAACATTTTTAGCCTATACACAACAGTACAAACTAATGCTCAGACAAAACTTACATTTAAGGAGAAGAGGACACACTTACTTGCACTGAGGTTCTGTAACTTGAGATTCAGATTGCCTGGATCTCGTTCATAGGTCGTCACTATGTCTGGTATATTATCTTCATACTGAAATGGAATCAATTGATTTAGTAATGGTAATTTTTTGGGGAAAAAACTTTGGTAGAAGGAGGAGACAACACACATTGATAAAAGATTATTAGCTGCAAATAAGAGAATTATAGATAATGAAAGTTGCTGCAAGTATGTCCCTAATTAAGCAATTTTGTGTTAATTATTTCAAGCTTCATTCTATTTATACGACCTGAAGTTTCAAATGTTTTTTTTTTCCATCAGACTGTTTTGAAAGGTATGATTCTGAGTAAAAATAAGTGTGTTTTAACACTGTCTTGTGGGTATACTTACAATGACAGGTTTCCTCATTAAAAATAAGACACTTTATGCTTGAAAAGTCAGTGAGGTATTGAAATAAGTATGGAATACAGTTAGAGACTGTTAATTACCCTGTGAATATTGAAGGGCTGTGGAACAGAGAGTTAGAGAGTGTTAATTACTCTGTGGATATTAAACAGCTATGGAACACAGTTATAAGTTTCATTCCAAACCTGCTGTCATTCCATTAAGATAAGTGACCTTTAGCCACTGATACTGGGTGCCCATAAAAGAGATTGCCATGGACTCTCCAGGACCATGGCTGGAGATATCTGGTACAGAATAATCACAGATTTTTTTGTGTTTGTCTTGCATAGTTCATGAATTAATAAAATGAGAAGAAATAGCTTGTTTAGAATTACATGGATTGTGTAACGGCCCCACAAATCTTTCACCGTGGTGCATAAGCACATACATGCTTTAATACAATACAGATAAAGGGGTAGTTTACCTGCCTGAAGTCATGAGGTTTGGGATCTTTGTAGACATCAGAGGGGTATTTGCCTGTTTTTACAAAAATTATACTTGCTCCAAGTGCATCAGGAGGCCTGAATCTTGCTTCAAACTTTGGCTGTTCTTTTTTTGGAAAAATTTCTGGCAGCTCTATTGATCTGGCTTTCCAGAAACTGTCCAGGTTACCAGCAGAGCTGGTCAATGTCAAAGAGGCACGCTCAATTCTTTTTGCCTTCTGAGGCAGCCTAATGGATCTGTATAGTTTTGGTGTGAAATCTAGTGCCTTTCTTTTCCAGATGTTAGTGCTGAGTTCGGTTTGAGGGTACACAAATGCTTTACTTCTTATAGAAGCCAGGTCCTGACTCGCAAAGAAAGCGATCCTTTTGTCAAAGCGAAACGATGTTCGGGAGTCAGGAGACATGTCAGAGTCCATCATGTTGTCCATGTTGTCTTCTCTCTTCGTGCTCTAGAAAACTGTCAATTAAAAGCCACAAACTGAAGTTGCTCCCCATGAATAAGAGTTTTAAAAGTAATTAGATGCATTCGAACTGTAACGTGTTCTCTTAAGCAACGTAAAAGGCTGAATCATGACATTTCTTAATCACTTTAAAGTCAGCCAATCAAAAGGTCTTCTGAAATGTGGAATCTGCCTTAATTCTGGGATGTAGAATCAAGCACAAAACACAGTGAATCAAGAGAATGAATATACATACTTTTCGAATGAAATTAAGATAAAACTTAAATACTTTAGTTATATCAGTAATCTAAAAATTACATATACCACTCTTGAGATACTCTAGCAATACATGAGTCTTTAGACATACTAATTAGCCTATGAAGGGGCATTATATTCTACAGAACTAATTTTACAATAACCACATCAGTCCTATCGCTGGCCAAGCTCATCTGTAATATAAAACACTCATTGCAGTACATCTCTTTGTCTGCAAGGGAAAGGTGACAGACAACTTTCTACGCTCCCAAGAATATAAGCTTTTCTGTTCTGCAGACAAATCCAAAGTAAAAGAATTTTAAAGTTGCACTTACCCAGAAAAGAGGTGTGCTACATTTCTGTAAGCGAAGCAGATGTGAGACTCTTCTCTGCTCGTTTGGGACTTAGCTTTAGAGTTCTGGTGACTTCATTTTATAAATATATTTTTTAAAGAAGCTGATCACAGGGAAATGGTAGGATACAATAAAGATAGGTTGCTAAGCTACAGGACTCGGGAGACTTTGAATAGGCAAGTAGTCCGAGACAACTGCCCCGCAGGCGGGCCTGCAGAAAACAATTTCTTAGCAACAGAGCACCAGGAATGTTTGCAGAAATGCCCGTACAGAGAACTCAAGCTCAGCAGATACGCGTTTATTTAAGCAAACATGAATACTTCAAGAAAAGTCGCATTAGTTTTACGTAACTATTTATATAGTCAGATTTGAAATGCCTTCGTCAAACACGTAATTTTTAATCTGGCGTTATTATGTTATTAAGTCCCTAGTGCTTAATTAAAATGACTTGGAATGCCTCAACAGGTACATTTTTTTTAAAAAAAGGGAGAATTGCTTACAATGCGCAGCGGATTTTCCAAAATAATATACAATGAACTAGTAAGAAAAGAAAAACATGAATCATTTTCTAAGTAGAAGAACTTAAGTAATTTACAGAGAATCTACAGATCATTCCATTACATATCGAGAACCCATTTTTTAAATCATTTTATTTTTATCAACGACCAAACAGAAAATAATGGGTGCACTGATTAGATACTATCTCATTGGAAGTCTTGTGTCGTTACTAAATCGTTTCATATGTTGTACGTGAAATAATTACCCTACCAAAAGGACTCGATGAACTGCAAGTCCCCCTCTCGTTTGTAACCTTATGTTACTATAAAGGAGCGGAAACATTTTTATTGTGCTCTGTATTGTGAGTTCTTAATGTTGCATATTTACGCCTCAAAAAATAAACAATTTTAAGGGAAAAATATTATACAAATTGGCCATATTCAGTATTTCAGACATTCATTCAATTTTCTACCTTCCAATACAGAGCCTATCCCAGCAAGCCATATTCAGTGTTTCCCTTTAACTGTATTTCGTAAAAACGCAAGAACCTCCAATATGTTTTTCAAATCAAATATGGCCACAGGATGGCGATGTATCACCATGAATTAAATGTAATTTTGGGATTTCCCGAAGGTATTCAAATGTTAGGTGCAGTAATTCTTGACGTGCACTTTAAACAGTCACTAATCTAAAGTCAAGTTAAAATATAATGAATTTCGTGATAAATTAAGTTATTCTGTTACCATGCTAAACTCGACAATATTTTTTTTTCAATTAATGAAAAATATCAGTGGTCATACTGGTTGTTCCCTGAGCTGTATAAGCAGTCCACCGTAACTCTGTAATGCACAAGTTTGCCTTTTATTTAACCTATGATGTAATTTAAAAAAAAACACAATTTAGCGAGTGCGCTTATCTGAAGCGACTTAAATTTCTGTCATTTTATACAGTTGCTTATTTTACTGGAGTCCCAATCACTGCTCCCTTCAAACTTTGAGATACAACAGGTTTTAAGGTTGCCCTGAAATAAAATGAAACTTGTAAAAGGAGTGCTTATGATTACTGCTAGCTTAATTGTCTTTTGTGGGCTGAGAATACAATAGCAGTGCCGGATTTTCCATTAGGCACTGTAGGCACAATGCATAGGGCCTCCGAAGAAGGAAAACACTAGTGACTAACGAAAAGCGAGCTGAAGCAACATGCTTGCGATCGACTGCAGGTGCGCCAGATCAATAATCATACGCTATCTAGTGGCTGTTCTAGAAACTGTTAAGTGTCGACGTGATGATCGCTCAACTTGCTCCAAAAAAAAAATTAAACAGTTTATTTATTGTTATTTTTATTTTGTTTTTCATTTTATTTGATCATTTGCAGTTACTCGTTTTGTGAATTATAGTATGGCCCTAATATGTACTGTCCAATCTACCGCGTTCATCTGTTTTAAAGGAACAGCTGGCTATTTAAGTAGCAGTGCAAAGGAGTGTAAGGACAATATAAAACGCAGCTTTTAAACAAAGATGGCTGTAAATATAATATTTTATATTAAATATTTATCCGTCCATTTTAATTTAAATTTACCCAATTCAGGGTCATGGGGGGAGCTGAAGTCTAACCCAGCAAGCAAGAGACACAAGGCAGGATACACCCTGGACAGGACACCAGTCCATCACAGGGCACAAGGCAGGGTACACCCCGGACAGGACACCAGTCCATCACAGGGTGCACACAGACACACACTCACACCAGGGCCAATTTTCCCAGAAATCAATTTGCAATCAAATCTCCTGTCTCCTGTGTCCCACTGCTCCTGTCTCCTGTCTCCCCCTTTATTTGTCTCTGGACTATAAGAGGATATTGGAGAACCTGGAGGAATCCCAAGCCAATACAAACTACCAGAGCCCCAGAGCGCAGTGCGGCAGCAAAGCTATCCCTGCCGTCCATATCCAAAGATTTTTATTGTTTTTTTTTTATTGAATTTTAATGTCCAGGGCAATTTTTAAGTCTTGTTCTGACATTAGTGTCTGGCTGATACTGGGCCCGGGAGGAAATCCTGACAGCAAGTTCATCGCCCAAAAGCAAGTTAACGTTTAAAACGGATTTATAAAACCATCACTTCTCGCAACCAATATTTAAGTACGATACCAAACACGATTTCCCTTAGTTGTACTTTTTTTTTTAGAAACAATCACTCCCACTTCATGTCCCTCTGGGAGCAAACTAGATTGCGCCCTCCAGGTAAGGGGGGAAGAGCTGCCCCCAGTGGAGGAGTTTAAGAACCTCGGGCTCTTCTCCATGAGTGAGGGTAGAGGGGATCGCGACATTGACCAGGGGATTGGTACAGCAGGCGCAGTAATGCAGCAATGCGTTTTCGGACAAGTCTCTCATTTTTGCAGTTGCGTCTACAATCCTCAACCTGTGATGACAAGCTTTGGGTAGGAAGAATGAGAGCTACCGCAACAAGGACCCACCAGGACTGAGCGGTTCGACAGTGAGATGGGGCGAAATGAGAGGTCTCTGTAAGAAAGTGTAAGAAAGGAGGTTTTTCCCCTTGTGGGGCTGCTGTGTTCGTGTGAGGAGCCTGATAATCCAGCAGAACCTTGGAGTTTAGCTGCTGCTCCTCCGGATCAAGAGGAGGCAGGTGAGGGGGTTCAGGCATCTGGTGAGGATGCCTCCCAGGCTGGAGGTGCACCAGGCACAGCCCACTAGGAGGAGACCCCAGGGCAGTCGCAGGACATGCTGGAGGGACTGGGAGCGGCTGGAAATCCCCCAGGAGCAGCGGTGGGGGCAGTCTGGGTGCTCAGCCTGTTACCGCAACAAGGACTCACCAGGACTGAGCGGTTCGACAGTGAGATGGGGCAAAATGAGAGGTTCCACCCCAAGTTAAGTATTAAAGTTGCTTCTTAAATAATGGCTAATTAGCACATGGATGCCAGAAGGCCGCTGCTTGAGTTGTAGTGGAAGCAGAGGAATACAGCAGATGACAGCTGTGGAACCCGTGAATGGAGAACTAGGCTTGCAGCACTGTGCTGACTGAATTAAACACAGCAGCTCATAAAATCCCTCAGCACTTGAAAAATTGTTCACAGATGAACTAATTGTACAAAAAAACAAAGAGAAAATGTAACTCTAAGAAAAGTAATCAGTTTTCTATCCTATAATCTATTCTTTCAAAATCCAGCACAGCTGTTCAACTTAATTAAGCCAGGCAGATAATCTAAATTTTAGATCATATACTGTATGATCAATCTTTTTTTTTCTTGCTGGCACAGTTATGTTAACATTGTAATGGAAATCTTATTTTAGATGAAATGTTATAAAAACAGCATTTTCATGGGGCAAGGTTCTAGATGTACAAGCACTAGATGGAACATTTAAAATTACACCACCAACTTTAGCTCTTTCTGTGGTAAGTATGATGAGGTATTGATTGATTTTTTTGCAGTGACTGTGATGTAAATTTGTCCAGTTCAATCACAGACATACTGTAAAATGCACAGATTTCTCAGAATCCATCCTAGCAATTCAAAGCAATGTATTAGTGCACCTCTCACAGCTTAAAGACAATCATACCCAAGTCTATACTACAGTATATTGTAGAGTTTATACTACTGTATATTCCCTTAAAGCACTAGAATAGTAGTTGTAGTCTAAAATAGTAGGTTTTGTGTAAAAAGTAGCTTACATTGCACAAATGTTAGACTTTCTATAACTGATACAAAAATTGTGAAGTACTATATTTAACCCTAAGACTGAAATATGAATTCCCTTGGAAATACACAGTATCTACTAATTACAAAATTGAGCAGTTTGCAACGATTAGGCCTAATCAGCAGTGTTGTAAAATAACCAGAAATGTTCCTACACATGCTACCCCCCAAAACATCATATTGCAGCAACCATGCAAGCTCAATTAACCCTTTAAAAATGTGCAAGGACCTTGGGGGTTTAAAATGACTTTACAATGAATTTACAATGAGTAATGTGCACCACACAGCTGTAAAATGTGCTATGGAAGACAGACAAACATTCTTCCAAGAGAATTTTCAAGAGATTTCTTACAAATTCTCAATCATTTAATGTGGGGAGTGATACTTTGATTTAATTGAGGATGGAAATCCATTTGGAAGACTTTAATCCTTCTTATGTAATGTACTGTGTCCACAGTTGTGTACTTTTTCCTGTACAGCCTCCAAATGCTATAAAGAGATTAATGCTTTATCAGTTAGAAATGAAGCCCTGTGTTTTGGTAGGCATCCAGAGCATCTGTGGATGCTATCAGAGATCAAATCAAGTCATTTCCTCATAATCTACTGGATACAGTGTCTTTGCATGAAAATGTGTCAATCTCTGACTTTTGTAAATGCTTGCTTTTTATGTATATCAATATTCTGTTATAATTAAGCTGGTTTCATAATGTTATGACACAGTATAACAGAGATTTGAACTGTAATATGATAGAATTGGCATCACATTGCACCATTACTACACCACCAGAGTTCTGATATTTTGCTCACAGATTTTGATTTGATTATGTTACATAAAATGTTTAAGCAACGTTTTACACAATATTACTAGAACAATACAGTAACAACAACAATAATAATTAAAATAATAATAAGCCATTGCATATACAACATTTTCAGGACATTCCACTAAATCTCTCACGTGTTATGGGGGCTCCCCAAAGTACGCCAGTACGTTCATGACACATCAGCTCTCAGTGGGGA